TTTGAAATATGGCATCCCCAATATGACACACAGTCTGAAAATGTCCCCACCCTGCAGTGTTTAGTGTATGTGCCAGCCAGCATGACTTCTGAATAAAGTGTAAATCAGATGTCTTAAAACATAAACAGGTCTCTCCAGTGTCTGGTTATGATGTTTCTGGCTGCTGAGAGTAGGTGGGTTATGAGTTCTTTCTGATGCGAGTGGGTAGGGGAACCCCCCAAAAAGAAACAAGTTCTACATTGTCAAAGTGCCATGGGCAGATCAGGGATGGGGAACATGTAGTCCTCCAGATATTCCAACCCTGGCCATTGGGCAGGGATGATGAGAGCCATAGTCCAGCTACATCTGGAGGACCACAGGTTCCTCACCCCCCTGGCACAGATGACATCAGTCAACCAATCAACTTTTAAAAGGGTTGATTAATTCTGATTACTCATTATAACAGTCGTTTGATTCATTTAAGTCTATATTTATAAAAATTTGATACAAAATAACTGTTGGCCTGTAGATAATGTTATGGGTTTATTGGCACTTCAAAATTAATTACCACATACTGAAGCAGGGGGAATAACTACTGTTACACGAACAGTAAGGGTTACAAAACAGGCTGCCGTTGGCTATTTCTCTACCATCAGTTGCATTTGGTCATTTTGGGAAAACTTCGTGCTGATGGCAAGGCTGAACTTGGTGGTTAACCATTTGACCCACATGCTATTTCATGGGGCTACTGAGAATAAGGAAGTGTGCAACAACCTCAGCAACAGAAAGGGGAAAATTCCTCTAATAAAAGAGTTATGTAAATACACCTATATCAAGTTCCCCTATATCATGTTTCATTTACCAAGATCCAGGTGACCTCTACTTATGTCATATATGCCATTAATTGTATGGAGGACCTTATCTTTTTGACATGACAGAGGTGGCCTTATATTTTCAAAACAAGGGTTGGCAGGTGTGCAGCACCCCAAGCCTGATACTCAAGACACTAAATCTGTATGCACTGTGAATTTAAAGAATCTTGGGGCTGCCATTTGTTAGGAGTGCTGGAAATTATAGTTCAGGGAGGAGCAAACTGCAGTTCCCAGGAGTGTTGGGTGTGTGGGTGCTTTAAATGTATGGTGCACACACAGCTTCTGCGACTTGGTGGTGCCAGAAGCTGAAAGTGTTGATGTCACTCAGCTGCCAACTCTTGAAAGTCAAAAATCCAGTGCATGGGTAAGGCCTTTGAGGGTGGCCCAGTGGTAAAGGGATGGACCTGGAGCTGTGAACATCAAGGAAAACCAGTTGTCCTGGTGGGGAGGAGGGAAGCTAATGAGTAGCACAGTAGTGTTGGTTCATTCATTCAGCCTTTATTGACTGAACCAGAGGCTTACCAGAGCTTCTGGGCCTTTAGCCAGTGCCTGACCAGGGTCATTACTGCAGTCAACCAGGTTTGGAGGGCTCCCTGTTCCAGCCTTTTCTCTGGACTTCCAGTGCCCTTCTTTCCCCACCTTGAGGGGAAAGTTTCCCTACCCTTCCTTCTGGCTGGGGCCCTGTAGCTGTCCTCTTTCCCTCCCTTCAGAAAGGTGAATGAGGAGGCTCCACCCTGCTCCTTCCGGTAGAAGTGGAGTCTCCAGGCCACGTCCAAACATGGTCTCCTCTGGAATCCTATTGTTGCTGCTTGGTGGTAGGGATGGGGACCTACTTAAAGGGTAAGGTGCTGGCAAAGGAAGGGCAAACAAACACAGGGGCATAAGGGTTTGTGCTGAAATCTAGTTTTAACAGGCAATCATAGTGTGAAATAATATTGGCAAAAGGCGTTAGCACAAAGCAAGTGTTTTCACTGATCCTGCTGTGTTATTGAAATGGTCCTGACTTGGCTGTTATTGTTGTTGTTAATGTGAGTTAGCTGCAGATGGTTCCACATGCCTTGATTAGGCACAACTTAAACAGGAATACTGTGAATCATCACAGCATATACTGTGCCAGTTTGGAGAACCATATCTTGGCTTATGAACAGGCCATCCCCCTCCCTCCACATGAAACCCCTTTGTCCCTTCCTTATTGCAAGCTGCAGTTAAACCAGGAAGCTTCTGGGTAACCCAAGGGCACCCTTCCATTCGCACCATTACTTTCCCCCAGTAAAATGGCAGTCAGATTTTCCGTGGATTGCCATTTGTCCTGATTTAGCTCTAAAGAGAGGGGTTTCCTGTGGGAAAAGTGGTAGGGGAAAGGCAAAACCGCTCAGACGCCTTCCTAGGGAATCTAGAGCCACGCAGACCCATGCTTTCTAGGCACGGATAAGCAGAAGCATGGACGAGCCCATAGTGTCCTCATCTGAACCAGGAAACAATGGTTGCTAGCTTCAGAAGGAGGCAGGGTATTAAAACAAGTTCAATGCTTTAATAGGCTGCCTTGTAAATTTATATTCCTTACTGTGTGTGTTAGGAGTGCCTCTCATCTTTGGAAGCACAGAAATGTCAAAAAGCGATATAAAAGTTTGGCGAAAAGCAAATTCTTATTCTAACAATCTACCCAAGACGACTTCATAGCGAAATGTTGCTGAATAAAAGGTTAATCACATCAGGGCAATCTGCCTTCTGATGCCAAATCTCTTGTAAAACATGGACATTCAGTCTGGTGCAGCCTTTGTTGCCCGCCAAATCTAGTAGCTATCAAAATATCATAGTCCCTGTGAATAAATGTCTGTTTGTTACTTTGTGGTCACAAGAATAAACAAACGTGGGTGGAAAGACAAAGTAGAAAAACATTGTTCCATACTTTTTAAAGAGAAAAAACTCCACTCTTGCTAACTCTTCATTTTTCTTAACACTGGTTTTAAAATTGGACAACTGGACATTCTAAAACAGAAATGACAACTTTAGCTGCCAATAGTTCACAAAGGAAGCTTGATTCCAATATTAAGAAGAGCACAGTTGTAAGCGCTCTGGCTTGCTGCCATCAGTGCAATAGGTTGCAAAACATGTAGATGTTACAGCTGGTTGGAAGAGATAGAGTGATCAGCAGACACTGCATCATATTCAGAAAATTTATTGGGGAGCCACATGATCCTACTCTGGGCATATGCTCAATGTATGGGGAGAGGATTGGACATAGCACGCAGATATTCACCCCACATGATCAGGAATGCTCCTTGGGGATCTCGGTTAGGCAGGGGGTCTGCTCAGCACAGCTAAGCTGTATGTGCAGAGTCCCTTTTCGAAAGCCACACTGACAAATTTGCAAAGGCAGACCAAGGAGGTGTGCAAACCTCGTGTGGGGCAGCAAGAATAGTCCAAATTTCCCCACCAGCGTGTTTGCTGTATGTGGGAGATCTTCATTTCAACACCCCTTCTGTACTAATTGTTTTCGGCAGTACCTAAAGTCTAGGGAACAGTGGGATTCCTCACAAGCTGCACAGGAAATTTATCAGTTTGAGATTTGTTGAGTCATGGCATATAAACCTCCCTGAAAAGTAGCTGTTTCTGCATTCACAATCTCCCCCTGCAATGTGGAGCCACAGGAGAATGTGAGGTTGCAGGCACATGAGTTGGCAGCCAATCATACATACCAAGAGCTCCTTGCACGCAGATACTTCAAAAACCACTGGGTTATATTTCCAAATGAGAGGTAGCATCATGGACTGGTTGGATGCAGAAGAATGGTGGGGGGGGGGGGAACCAGCTGGGGAACCCCCAAGGGAAGAAGGCTCAAAGCCCAGGGATTGGTGGTGGGACAATGATGAGCAGTCAGAGGGAGAAGACTGGGAAGAGGACATGTCGGAAGCTGAAGAAGTCACAGGGTTTAGTGATCAGGGAGAATCCATGGCAGAGAGAGAAGCAGGGGAGGGAGGCCAAGTGGCAGAGATGAGTCCAGCTGGTGAAGAAGCCAGGATGTCTCCCAGAACCAGAAGAGGCATGAAGTGGAAAGGGGCAAAGGCTGACACTTAGGTACACTCTCAGGCTGCTTGGGAAAAACCCAGGAGGGATAAACATTGAGAAGGGGGAAAGTGGTTCTTACAGTGGTACCTCAGGTTAAGTACTTAGTTTGTTCCGGAGGTCTGTTTTTAACCTGAAACTGTACTTAACCTGAAGCACCACTTTAGCTAATGGGGCCTCCCACTGCCTCTGCACAACCACCATGCGATTTCTGTTCTCATCCTGAAGCAAAGTTCTTAACCTGAAGCACTATTTCTGGGTTAGCGGAGTGTGTAACCTGAAGCGTATGTAACCTGAGGTACCACTGTATAAACAATGACAGAGGTTTGAGTAAGCAGGGAGGTTACACGAAGGGAGGCAGTGGCAGTTTAAAACAAGGTTTGACTACAGCAAGAAGATAATTTGGAAAGGCTGTGTTAGCTTTTTGGTGTTAGGTGTCTGCGTTGTACGCATCTCTGCTATTTCTCCTGGTTAAAGGTGGCTTGTTAGTTGGTGTTTTTTAAACACTTAGTGTCCATCCAAGCTTTACTCGAACCTCTGCTGTTGTTTAAAACTGCCATTAAAACCACACGATGGGGACAGATCTGGGGTGGGGAATTAAGCTGGATCCTAAACCTGTTCAGTTCAGCCACGTACTTTGGCAATCTGGCATGAATTAAGCTGGCAAAAGGGGTGGTGTAACTCCAACGCTATTTTAGAGGCTTGTTTTCCTTCAGCCAGGCTTACTTGAACATGTTTAACTGAAAGGAAGTCACAGTGAAATAAAAGAGGCTTACGGTACTTTCTGGCAAGACTGCACGCCTCCCTCTCCTCCCCTGCATCCTGACCACCCTGTATTTTAGATAGCCTTGGGTCACTTTTGGGTGGTCCAACCCAACCCAGAACGGTCTTGGCCCAATTAAGCCAAAGCCAAGATCCATGCAAATTTACCCAATTTAGTTTCACATTCAGTTGAATCAAGGCAAACCAAAAAATATGTTTGTCTGTGTTGTAATATGTTGTAAGAATTCAATAAAAATAATAAATATATTTTTAAAAACTGTTCCCCATTTGGGCACCTCCAACATGAAATAAAACAAGAAACAAAATATACATTTTTTTTAATTAAAATAATTGTAAACCTTTTATATACAAAAACTATGTACAGGGACAAAGCTACTAAGGCTGCAACTTAGTGATTTGATGATTTGTGGAGACCAACCCTTTATCTTGTAGCTCCATAAGTGTGCACTTTACTGAAACTTCTGTTGACTCTCAACAATAGCCATTCAGATGATTCTTGATAATGGCACCATATAAATAAACAGAACATTAGATATTTCAGAGTGGAACATAGTGCCCATCTGAAAAACTGATGACAATAAACTGAAATATGTTGTCAGGAAACCACTAAAATGTCAGAAATGCCTAGTACACAGAACTACATGTGTATCTGATTTTCACATATTATTGAGTGAAACATATTTACAAAACTGCGGCCCAGATCCGAGACTTCAGATCACAAAAAGGGACATACCCATGGAAATGTTTGGTTGAATGCAAAAGCACAAACTTGTACTAAACCTCTTCGGTCAGTAATTGCCTCACCAGTCTTCCAGATGTGTGCAGTGATGACAAGTATAAGCTATGGGTGCGATTAAAATATCTGCCATTTTGTTAAAGGTGCAAAGCACCTTTTCATGTATATTGCATGTTAAAATACTTTGAGCCCTGATCATATTAAACGTAGGAACAAATTAAGGTGGGAAAGCAGCAATAATGACTTAATTGGCTCATGATACAGTCAAGCAACGGAGTGGGACGCAGTTCTACCACAAAGATATTTTTGCTCATCCGCAGATGCTGTACTCTTGAATATGACTTTTGGGTCTAAACATTGAAAAGAGTATTAGCAACGCTTCCTGTTAGGTTCAGTTTCACAGATGACAAAAGAAATAAAACTGCGCAGCCTTAGTGGTTAAAAAACAAAAACAAAAAACAGCTTTACATGCTACAAGGTATGGTGGGCAAACTTGGTCTAATGGACTCCAATGTGAAATCCAAGCTGGTTTTCATGTCCAATGTAATTTCTGCAGAAACAAGGAAAAATTGTACACAATTTAATTGGTGATAGGGTGAGTGTAAAGCTTTATTATTATTATTTTATTAATTTTATGCCAAGAGCTATAATCTCCACCACCCCACCCTCACAAACCTAACATAGGTCTATAATTAATCACTGCTCACTAATAAACCCAGAGGTCCTATCAAGGAAGCTAGTGCAGCGCAAGCTCTCTATGCTAGTTCAAGAGATTTACTACAAGAACTGCAGTATAGGACTGAAGCATGATTTTAGGCAAAGCCATCATTAAAATAAATCAACAGAATAGCTCAGTTGAATGTGCTTATGCATCTTAGGTCCAGAACATGATATGATAATGTGAGGATGGGCAATTTATATGACCCATATGTACTCTGAAAAAGCAGATTTTTGCAGAGCTCTGGTGGTTTTGAAAATTAGAGGTTCCAATTAGGAACCTCCAGAATCAATGGTGTGGTATCCCACATTCTTTCATTGCCCTGAGCATCACTTAACAGCACCAAGACATCATTATCTTGAGTGTACAAAGGCTGCCCCAGATAGCCCTTGAGAGAAGAGAACAGCCTGTGGATTGAAGGCTTCTGTACTGTATTTGGGCTATTTTGCGTAAGATGCATTTTGTGTACAGTGCACAGTCTGGTGGCTGCAAATGCAAGAAGTGGGTTCACACACGCATATTCATCATTGGGAGACTGGATGACTTGCATGCACAAATGCTCAGAAAGCACAGACCGAGCATAGTGCCATTAATGTCTAGAGACCTGTGCGTGTGGACTGAACTTACTGCTTAGCCTCAAAACTGTTGACTAATCACTCTCTTTCCTGAACGTTGTTTGGAGGATTAAAGTCATAGAGGTGCCTGTGGTGGGGTGGAGTTGCACCCTCCCAACACCGGCACCATGGCTGCGCTTCCTTGAACGGGGTTGGGGCAGGGCAGCCAGCAACCTAGTCAGGGCTGCGCAGCTGTGCCAGAGGTTCCACTGACTTGGCAGCCGTGGTCCCGCTGCTGAAACTACGTGGTCTGACCCTGCTGCCACCTTGCCTCAGCCCTGTCTAGTATGCAGCAGTGATGCCCCAGCGTCTGGATGGCAGCTTCACAATTCTGCGCCGCCATCCATGCCTAAAGGTAAAGGGACCCCTGACCATTAGGTCCAGTCGTGTCCAACTCTGGGGTTGCGGCGCTCATCTCGCTCTATGGGCCGAGGGAGCCGGCGTTTGTCCGCAGACAACTTCCGGGTCATGTGGCCAGCATGACTAAGCCACTTCTGGCGAACCAGAGCAGCGCACGGAAACGTCGTTTACCTTCCCGCTGGAGCGGTACCTATTTATCTACTTGCACTTTGACATGCTTTCGAACTGCTAGGTTGGCAGGACATCCATGCCTAACATATGGATAAAACAGCATACATGGCTGTATGTGCCACCTGTCCTTAGGACAAGATAGGAAAGAAATGAATCAATGTCACAGTTTGGACCTAGCATCCTCACTGTTGAGGCATAAGGGCATTCACTGGGTGTACACTTGGTGAGTTGAGCTGTTAACTAGATTATTTTTCCTGCCTTTGGCTGTATTCTGAATGTAAAACGGAAAGCATTTATACCTGCATTTGTTGTATCAATGGCAGCATCTTGTTCCTGAAAGCTGAAGTCAAAGAATAAACTTTGCATGCCAGTCTCATTGATCAGGAAACCTTTCCCACCAACACTGGTTGGCTGCCAGGTGGATGATAGTAGCTCCTAGGAGACAAATGGGGGGAATACTTTAAATCATCTGTCCATATCGGTATTCAGTTAAGTTCAACAGCCACTGTCGTCCATTTTTCAGATCTATTACGTTATACAGTAACTAGTAATTCAGCAAATTTATGTTGGCGTGAATGTTTGTGACCTTCATTTGGTCAGGCCAAATGGAAAAGGGCAATGGAAGCAAACACATTTCTTATTCTGCATCTCTAATTCAATGAACAAAATGATGCACTGACTGCTTGTGCCAAGTTCAAACACGTAACATTACAAAAACCCCAGGAAGCATGCTCTCTTTTTACTCATCTGTAATGCCAGCTCATTCTCCCTAACAGAGAAGCAGCTGCAGAGCCTCTCTTGGGATATGGGAATGTTGCTGCTCACACAGCCTCTCTCTCATCCCACAAAGGACTTTCAGCTCCCTGGCCTGCAGGAGCAGCAATGGGATGCTCACCTATGGCAGCTGAACTCCCCACAAGCATGCTTGGCTCAGGGCTCAAGGAGTAGGTCCAAGCTCAGATTTCTGTGGTCAGAGCTTAGTAATGGTTTAGCCCAAGCAAGAGTAAAGCCCTTAGAAGCATAGGAAGCTGCCTTATATTGGGTCACACCATTGATCCATCTAGTTCCAAATTGTTTGCCCTGACTGAACACAGCTGTCTGGGATTTCAAGCAGGGCCCTCTTCCAGCCTTACCTGGAGATGCTAGGGATTAAGCCTGAGACCTTCTGCATGCAAAGCTATGGCTCTTCACCTCAGGGCCTTCATATGACCCTCTGAAGGTGCCTTATGTCAACTCAGCTACTCTGACAAGCAGCCCCTCCTCTGGGGGCTTCAGCAGGAAAGGGGTGCTGACTGCAAAATACCTTCCTCCAGTGCGCGCCTTTCAGAAAAGGAAAGATCGTCTTACCTGATACAAGTTACCCGATGCAAATTTATCTTCATCCTCATCGGTTCCTGCATTGTTATTTGAAGTCATTGTAGGAAGAAGAGGGAGGGGAAAAAGGCACTCAATGAAACTCAATAGTTTTTGCAGACTCATTTTTTATTACAAGTGTTTTCCTATCTTTTACCGCCAACCATAACTTCTAGTCACATGACCCAAACAATATAAAACTGGCCATTTATTTACACAAGCAACTTTACTGACTTCTGTAGGATTTACACTATTGTAGCTAGCCCAAGAATCATTCCCTTTCCAGGTTACATAAATCCTGCCATCCTGTTATTTTGGGTTCTTTCTCTTAGCACAATTCTGATCAATCAGCTGCCCAACAGTTATGAACAAATGAAACACCAACCATCAGAGGAGGATGTGATGGGCGACACTTGAAATGTATACAAGTCGTTTGTGCTGTCCGGCAACTGATGCTCCAGCGAACACCCCCAGTCAGTAGGGTTTAAGTTACATGAGGAGAGATCTGAAAAAAATCATAAAAACTATGTCAGAATCGTTATGAAGGAGGTTCTTTCCTAAGATTGTGCCAAATAGTTGAAAACAGTTTCATTCCAAGCAAACCGGGGGGGGGGGGGGATATAAATAAATAATCCTGCTTTATCCATGCCCTTTTCTTTTGGGACACTTTGATAAGTCACAATGAGAACTTCTCTTGGGGATATTAAAAGCAGGATATAGGCAGTCTAAATAAATAAAGAGCAGGCAACTTGACCACCCATGACCCATCTTCTCTGGCAAATAGCAACCATTTGGGAGTATGGGGTGTGTGTTTTAAGGCTTTATCTTGTTTCATTTGGGGTAATAGGAACACCATGTGCAAACCACAGAAACAGATGACTCAAGTTGTAGCTCACCTCCTAATGTGCTCCCCACTTCCATTTTCTCTGGTTGGTAGTTGGGAAGCACATAGCTACTGTGGTCGTCCGGCAGCTGAATGCTGTTTGTTGCACTGACTGTCTCTTCTGTCTTGATATCGTCCACTGACTGCAGAAAACAAAGACCTCTTTTATCAAGGTGTGTGTTGAAAGCATCATTTAAACCAATCTGGGGTATCCATATCTCAAGTACAGATGACCCATGAATTTTTAAAAATCTAATTTTAGCCATAAGCATCCCTTTAAAATGGGTCTTCCATGCAGAAGACTTTGGCACAAGCAACCTGCCAGTGCTTCGCTTCTGAGACTAGTTTTGGCTGGTTTCATGGAATTATCCATCTCATTTTGTGGAAGCTTCTAGGTCAAAAGGGTCTTCCTCCATTCCCAGGCTTCTCTTACACCTACCAGGCTCCTAAATTGGAAATTACTTGAAAGCCTCCTGTGCCTTTTTACAATCCAATCCACACTCAGGCCCCCAGCTGTGCCAGAGTCTGTAAATCAGATAACATCTCATCCTGCATAGAGTCAAGATGTAATTGACTCACACTTCTAGAGACAGGGAGTTTTACATTTAAAGAGACCAAACACTCACTCCCCGGATGGCCACAATGCCTCTCCCACAATGCCTCACACCTGCGTGAACCAGCATTTAACATACCAAGATTTCCCAACTTCACTACACATGCAGAAGACATTGGCACAAGCAACCTGTCAGTGCTTCTCTTCTGAGACTAGTTTTGGTTGGAAGTTCCCTAAATATGAACTCTGTCCCATTCTAGGTTAGGATCAAGTTATCCACAGGCTTTGAGTTCCATGTGAATGTTTCACTTGCTTGACGATAAAGGGTAAATACATACCTTTCTTGCATTCTTGATTTTCAGTGACTTTGATTTCTTCTCTGCCAACGAAAAACAAAAGTGTACAGATTTAATACAATGAAATGCATTTATGAAAAAGAAAGAGAAGCTGTAGAGAACATGGACAGTACCAACAAATTCAGGTGTCACCAATTTTATGGTACAAAGTAACTTAAAATACTTGAATCATTTGTGGTATTCTCATGTATGCTTTGTAGGCTCTATCCCTACAAAGATTCCCCATTATTTTTTGTAGAATTTCACAGACCATAAAAGCAAACATGTGATGACCTTGTCATGGAGGCCACAAGACTTTGCCTGGTAAACACCTTCTGTACTGAGTTCCCTTCTTTTGCCAAGAGTGAGTTTTTATGGCATTCAGAAAACCAACTTTAAGAACATAAGAAGTGCCTTGATAAATCAGATCAAATTCTCTTCTAGTTCAGCATCTTTTGTCTACAGTGGTCAATCAGATACCTGTGGGGAAACCCACAAGCCCTTTCCCATGGTGGGTATTCAGAGCCAAGCAGTCTGTGATACTAAAGACAAGACATAGCCTTATTCTCAGTGAATATGTATTCCGTTTTGGAAATGGTCCCTCTCAATGACTTGCAAACATACCTTTCTTTGGTGACTTTGCTGAGGGTTCCAACATCCTGTAGACCCGGACAGCACTGGAACCTTTGCTGATGCTTTTGTCCTTCACCTCTTCAATATCAGGCAATGAATTCATGGCGCAACGGAAATTTGCCTTCCAGGTTTTAGGGTCAGGTTCTTTATCACCTGGTTTGTACCTCCCTATATAATGACAACATAAATCTGCATTGAGCAACAAGTAACCTAATCCAGATATAGCCACTAAGGTCCCAATCCAGGCACTCACAGCCTAAAAACTCAACCATCATATGCAGGTGCTCAATAACTGACTCATCTAAAAAATAAGTAAATACGGACACATTTCAGCCTGTGTGACTCAAAGTAACTCGAACACAAGCAAACGTTATTGTACATACTTCTTTTTGTTTGTGGCTAGCTGGAGAGTCTGCCCATATCTTTACAACTGTGATTTTTACTTTGTTTTTACATTGTCCTTTGCCCGATGAGCTCTTGTTTATCGGGCAGCTGATAAAACTTTAATAATAATATTATTTGCCGCTTTCTACCAAAAAAAGCCTCAAGGCCATTTGCAACAGTGAAATATACATGAATGCAGTTGGTAACGATAATCATAACTACAGCCTAAAAAGAAACAAACCAAACAACAATGTCAGCCACACTTGGCTAATGTGTCTGGCGCTTGTCCCTCTTTTAGGAGGCTTCTAGCCTACCAAGGGGCTGCAAGCATTCATGTGACCCGGGGGGGAAAGAGGCGGGGCTTAAAGTAGTTACCTCTTTTGCTGATGTAAATACACTCTCCCCAGAAATGTAATGGTACTGGCCTCACTTGTGCCTATGCGAAGGACACTGTAGAAAACAAATTGCCCTGACAATGGCCCATACCAGTATGAATGGCCCAGTTTCTGAAAAGGCAGGCGTCCTTTTCCAGCTCCCAGCCATGCTTGGCCGCGTGTTTCCATGGGATCTGGAACAACTTTTCATCCTGCAATTCAACAGTACAGATTTTAGTGGGTGTGCCTGAATTACATATGGAAAACAGTATCAAGAACAACCCAAGAAGTCAAAGGAACTGAAAGTATTGCAATTTGATTGGTATTTCTCTGCCTGCCTGTGCAGTTTCTCTACAATATGATGTAACAGCAACCTGTACAACAGACTCTGATGTATGATTTTGTTCCATACAGTATTCTGGGGATGCTAACCACAGAGAACCCTATCAGCTTGGTGATCTTACACATCTCAAGAGGGTTTAGCATTTATTTTCTTTTATTAATGAGTATGAAAGTAAGAATCAGCATTAAATCTCAGCTACACAGCAACTCATTCACTGAGGTGATGTTTATACAGTATCACTTTTAATTAGGTCTGCATGCCATGTTCCTCCCAACTTTTTAGCCTTGATACCGTTAAACTGTTAGGGTTGTATCTGACTTAGACTCACTGTAGAGCTATAGATGTCTATGGACTTACATTAGCTTTGGGTCTACTCTAAGTATGACTTAGTGGGATAGAACTCTTAGGATGATAACTTGTGTCACTTGAGAATTGGATAATTTCATTTTCCTAGATATGGAATTCTCAGCAACATTTACCTACTGTCAAAGACAATCAGCTGCTGAGATCTCTTTATTTTTCTGAAATTTGCTTCTGGACTTAAAAGCAAAAAAATACAGAAGGCTAATATTTTTAAAGTCAGAGGAAAAATGAAAAAGAAACCCGTACCTTATTGATCCATTGGAGTCCAGGAATTTTATTGGAATTAATCTGCAATTCCATCCAAGGCCTCATGCGCATTCTTGTTTGTGGCATATTGGATCTGAAGGAAAAATAATTTGAGCTTAGAATAAGCAGAAGAAGAAGACTCCTCAAAATTCTGAAATTCATAGAATTTTACCGGAATGGATGTTTTCACAGAATTCAAAACAAACTCATGATGTATTTATCCCCATTTTTTCCTCCTAAGAGATCTGTGTTTTATACAGATCATAATCTGTCTTTTATAGAATACAAGAAGACATGATAGACTCCTGCCCCTGGGAACCTCTAAAGAGTTACAGTACAGTGGTGCCCCGCAAGACGAATGCCTCGCAAGACGGAAAAACCGCTAGACGAAAGGGTTTTCCGTTTTGAAGTTGCTTCGCAGGACGAATTCCCCTATGGGCTTGCTTCGCAAGACGAAAATATCTTGCGAGTCTTGAGATTTTTTTCGCTTTTCCCCCTTTATCTAATCTGCTAAGCCTTTAATAGCCTTTAATAGCCTTTTAGCAGCTAATCCCCTAAGCCTTTAAGCCTTTAATAGCCGCTAAACCGCTAATAGCGCTAATAGCGCTAATCCGTCAATGGGCTTGCTTCGCAAGACGAAAAAACCGCTAGACGAAGACTCTCGCGGAACGGATTAATTTCGTCTTGCGAGGCACCACTGTACTTAAAAATAAGTGTTGCAATCTGAATTCGGTAGCAGCTTTTGAATAAGCTCTGCAAATAAAGGTTAAATGGGTTAAATAGATATATATACATATTTGCATATTAATATTTTATCATATTTTTGCTGATAAGTTTAGGTAATAGGTTTATTAGAGTGAAAAGATATGGAGAAGGACGGGAAGTTAAATTTATGAAGATATATACTACTTTGTTGGAATTTTTATTTTGATGAGTTTGATCTACAGACTATAAAATGTCTTTGATGTATGGATGTAACTACGGTTAAAGAAGAAGAAGAAGAAGAAGAAGAAGATAGACCCCCTGCCCCTAGGAGTTTACAATTTAAAACACAGGGCTAACAGCAGAGTGGAATCAGGAATAATAATGCTTTAAATGTATTCTTAGTTATAGCATAGGAACTAGGGGTTATATTATTTTATTCCCCTTAATGAATAGGTTCAGTGACTGGTCAAAGGCAACCCAGACATCTGCATGGCTGAGAGGAGGGATTTCAACCTGAATTTTCTCTTTCTAAACCCAACACCCCTGTCATTAAAACCACATGGGTTTTCAGTTCCCCAGTGTTCCAGAATCATTCCTCCAACCCCCAACCCCCATCTTGTAAGATACTAACTAAAATGCTCATCTTGACTTTGCTAGCTGAACCCATGCAGAATGCAGAATGCCAGTTGCATATTGACCGAAGGTGGTATCTAAGGACATGCCAGAGTAATTTAGAAATAGGTAGAGAGGCTGCCTTCAGGTAGTGTTGCCATCTCAGGGGCAGTAAAGCTTTCACTTCAGGGTTGGATTTGTCCATAATGCTGTTGTTAAATGCTTGGCAACCGCTGGAATTAACGGAGCTCGCTTGTTATCTGCAATGGCTCCACTCTGAGTAAAACTCTGTTGAATACCACCCACTTTGCTGCCTGTGTCGAATTAAGTGAAGGTCATAACGTGCTGCATATTATCTGCTGGCGTCTGGCGACTCTGAAGGAATGGTTTTCAAACTTCTCTCCTATCAACATCTCTGCTATAGAATTCCCAAGCCGCTGTCTGCAGCAGATCCCCAAGGATGTTAGGACATGTCTAGGCTGCACACTTGGTTCACAGAAGGCACCAGTCAGACCTGTTGCCGGGGTTATCATTTCCCGGCTAGAACTGAAAGGGTGGCCTCCATCTCCGTAAGGAAGATTGGAAGCAGTGCACAATCTGCCATTGCTGCTCTTCGTACTGTGGGACCCTGGATAAGACCCAGGTTCCTTGGAACCACGGCCCTAATAAATTAAGTACGCTTTTATTCAACACAACTTCTTACAATCATATGGGCGTTCTATCCTGTGGTCACAACCACCTCAAATATTCATTGCGGAACTGTAGCCACTGTAGCCTTCCAAGAATTGTTTCCCTGTTCAACTGGGCAGGCAAATTGGTTTTGTTAACTGTGAAATGCTTCAGACAAATTAGCAAGAGATTATTATGTTTCTGCAGTTAAAACTGAATGCTGGCAGCTAATGTGTAATGTGACTTAAGACGACCATATTGCTTGCTGTTTCTTGGTCCTTTCAAACCAAGTAATCATTGCACGCTCAAGGAATCATTACTCTATTTTGAGCAAACATTTGTTACTGTAAGAAAATCCTTTTGTGCTCTGAAGGACGGAAAATTTATCCATGGCACTGTTAACTGAAAGGACTGGATATGCTCATTAGCACATCCCATCGACAGATTCTACATACATTGGGCAAAGAAGAAATTCTGAAGAACCTGAAGCCTTTTTGTGCAGAAAAAGCTGACTGAGGAAGGTGGAGTACATGGAGAAGACTAACCCAATCCATGTACAGAAAGAAATTTCCCCCTCATTCTTTCCCTGCCTCTTGAAACACTGGAACCATTGAAACTTGTACTTCTTCACTATCTACACAACCAACTTTCACATGTCACCGCCAATGCCGCAGATGGCTTTGTGCGTGTGTGCGTGCAAAGACTAGACAAATTGTGAAGGTTGGCTCTGTTGATATTAATAAGCTACAAAAGCTAGGAATGCAACCTTTGTAGTCGCAGGCAACATGCCTCCAATTCCTAGATGCTGTGGACAAACAGTGGAAAATGGCTTTAACCACCATACCCTTCCAACAGTTTTCAAGCTTTCTAACTTCAGAGAATGCTTTTCCACATCATGTTTTCGCCACAAGACTTCAATGCGCAGCAGAGAATTGTGGAGTATGTTCTTGTACATACACATGCAGTTCAGTCATGAAATACACGGATCAGGCCTCTTGGGCCTCATTGCTGCTCTGCGTAAATGCCGCTGTGACTACAGAAGAACTTTACAAAGAGCAAAGGAAGACTGGTAGTTGTGGGTAAACTGAATCACATGGAGGCTTCTCCGCCATTACTGATCTTTTCTTTGAAGAATCCCACGGTAGGTTTCCTAGGGGGATCTAGTATCCCTTGCAATAGAATTTTAAAACACTGTCCTCTGTTCATCGCCACTGGTGCATCTGACAGCACGCTGTACACTCTCTAGTTTGTGAACTGCCCTGTCCATTCCACAGTTGTGAAAATTGGCAGTGTGAGTTACTTTAACCAAACTGTGTCCATATTGTGTAGACTGCATGATTGTATGAGTCACTGTTGTCTTTTGGTTAAAAGCCATTTAAGAAAATCAGCAGAAACCACCTCCAGAGGCGACAGCCACCAGTTACCTTAACATAATCCTGACACAGTAGTCCTAGAAAGGGCAAGACATATTTGGAAACAACCAAAGGGCTAAGGCACTGCATATAATGGGCGTTCCACCATAATAAAGTAAAATAAGCTGCAGCAACCTTCCCTGTAGACGTACTGTGGGGAAAGGATGAAGAACTGTAAAGCATTTTGCACACAAACAGATTTGGAAGCAAATCCCATTCAATTCAATGGAGCTTACATTCAGATTAAAGATTCAGGAAGAGGGAATGAGCACAATTAACTGCTTCAGTTCCATTGATGGGACTTAACCACAGCTATTAAGGAGAAGGAAAGGCTGTTTCACATATTATAAACTCAGGGGAATGTTTATAAGGCAGCAGGAGATACATTGGGGAGAGTTGCCACTTGGCACCAGTCAACACAAGCCTTGCCAATTTCCTACATGTACTCCTCTGGATTGGGGCCAGAGGGACCAACAGACCTTGTAACAATGTAGAGTTTCTAAGGAAGTTCCAGATTTCACTGTTTCCGTCCTTCAACGGAAAGGTCTATAAAGAGTCCCAGAATGTCTCCTGCTCCCTAGAGATGGCCTGCTGCCCCAACAGATAGTTTAAGAGGAACAAGCATCTGTTTTCAACATAGCGATTACAGTCCTTCAAAATTAAGACAAAAGGCCCAAGAAGAGCTGCCCTGTGCTCCACAGAGCTAAGTGCCAATTCCACATATCCTACAAGCGGATATCGTTCTTATGCAGAGGAATTTTGTTCTGGCTGCCTTCCTGATTGCTCGCTGCCAAGTATAATACATGTGTTACACTAACCTCCATGGCTCCTGTATTCCACCAAGTGAAGTAAGGACACTTCTGCATATATATATATATATATATATATATATATATATATATGAAGGAAGCAAAAAATGTATCCTCACTGCATTGGGTTCATTTTGCCATTCATTTGTTGTTGTTTTATAATTACCGGAACACATTTGGGCTGTAAATCTTACATAAGCTTTCTTGTATAAGGAACTCCCCTGAGTTTACCAGCAAACATGCCTAGGAATGAGCAGTGTGTTTCTTTTTTTAAAGTTTGGGATATGATGTTGCCCTTCCTTTGCTCCAAACTCGATAATTAATATTTAGAGGAGAATTTCAAACTTTTTTTTGTTAAAATCAGAAAAATTAAGTTCAGCAGATTTTCTTCAGAGACAGAGAAAATTTTCTGAACCTGTTGCTTCCTAGTCCTGAAGACCTGTAGCCTGTCCCAAAATTCCTTCTAAGGCTCGGGTTTTCTTTTCCTCCGATTCCTCTTCACATTGAGGGAGGGTGTCAAAGCAGCTAAATACTGTTGTGTTCTCTCCCCTGCCTTCTCTCTCTCTCTCTCTCTCTTTTTTACAAACTTTACTTCCTGGTATAACAACAAAATAACTAACACCACCCAGTACTATCCCTCATGTTGCTAGCAAATTTCCTCCGGGAAACACTACATAAAAAAAAAAAAGCTGGCCTATTAACTTTTTGCACCCTAGCTAAAGAAACGATTATTGATGCAATTAAAAACAACATTTCACTACAGCAAGAATCATCCTATTCAGGAAGGAGCCACGCCCACGTGGCCTGGATCTTGCGGGCACTGGACTAGATTCCGTGCGCGCTCTGCACCCGGATTTTCTCTCCTGCCTTCCGTTGATTGCCTTGTTTCACCATGAGATCTGGCTGACCTCAAGGCGCCTCCAGATGCGTTGCTGGTTTTGCAGGTAGAAGCCTAGCGGGCGCCCCGCTGTTACCCCCACCCCGCGTTTCCCCCATCAGCCTGCAAAGGCAGCTAAACTACTGGCTCTGAATGAAAACAGCAGCACTTGACTTTTGCAGGATCATTCACACAGGATGGTTAAAAAAAAAAAAAGTTACTTATTAAACTCCCCGCTTGCTCTGCTAAACTTAGCCCGGCTGCTGCCTGCAGCCTTTGAGCTCCAGGAAACTAAGGACACGCTTGTCTGAGAAAGCGGCTTGCAGCGATCTCAGCGGTACTAGAGGCGCCCCATCCGCCCGCTTCCTCGATCCCCACGCGGCGCCCCCGCTCCCCGATAGAAGACGAGAAAGTTTTCCCCGTGCAGCCGACCGATCTCGTGCGGAGGGCGGGGAAGCACGGTCGGTGCAGAAGTCCTGCCTCTGGGCTTCCCAAGCTAGTGTGCAGCCGTAGGACTGCAAACCTGGAGCGGCGGTCCTGTGCACCCTTAACTAAGCGAGCCAGTCCCCTGAGGTCTCTCTGATAGGAGCTGAGCTGCAACCCACCTTCCTACTCTTGTCCCGGGAGGATCTGGCGAGCGCTCCTCTGCTGCGCGAACGAGCTCCTTCCTCGGCGAGAGAACCACGGCTTCTGCAGCCGCTGGACCAGGAGCGCCTGTATGTATGCGTCCGGCCCTCGGGAATCCCCGGGCAAGCGACAGGAGCGCGCGCCGCGCCCAATCAGCGGCGGGGAGCCCGCGCCGCGCCCAATCAGAGCGCGGAAGGGAGTATGCTGCCGGCGGAGCATCATTTCGGGGAAATCAGCCGCTTGTAGTGCTAGAGCGAGGGGAAGTCCTGCTTCCATTCCTCCCCCCACGCCCCGTTCCCCGGCCGGCAGTCGCCAGCTATTTTGCTGAGACGGACACGCGCACACTTCACACACACACACGCTGCTTAAGAATCCTTTGACCACTTTTGGGACTCTGGAAAAGCCCTGCCAGCCCCAAACCCCAGCCTGACACATTGCCCAACAGGTGACAACGGAAGGAACAGGACTCTTACGGATAATATATTATATTAATTATTATATTATATTATATTATATTATATTATATTATATTACACGGGTGGTGCTGTGGGTTAAACCACAGAGCCTAGGACTTGCCAATCAGAAGGTGGGCAGTTCGAATCCCCGTGACAGGGTGAGCTCCCGTTGCTCGGTCCCTGCTCCTGCCAACCTAGCAGTTCGAAAGCATGTCAAAGTGCAAGTAGATAAATAGGTACCGCTCCAGCGGGAAGGTAAATGTTGTTTCCATGCGCTGCTCTGGTTTGCCAGAAGCGGCTTAGTCATGCTGGCCACATGACCCGGAAGCTGTACGCCGGCTCCCTCGGCCAATAAAGCGAGATGAGTGCCACAACCCCAGAGTCGGTCACGACTGGACCTAATGGTCAGGGGTCCCCTTTACCTTATATTATATTATAATTTTGCAGTCTAATGGTCCACCTAGTCCAGCATCCTGTTCTCACAGTGACAGAGGAATCAACCTGAATAAAATATTGGGGGGGGGGCATCACAGCACACAGACACCCTTTGAATAGCAATGCCCATCAACTTTGTGGGGACTTGAGCCAGCTTAGCCCAGCAGTTCCATCGACCAATGCGTTGCTTGGATCCCCCAATTGCCTCCCGCGGTTTCAGGCACTGCCTCACTTTTTTTAAGTAAAAAAAACTTTGTGGGGACCTGACCCCAAAGGGAGTTGGCTCCTATGCATGGTGGCCGAACAGATGCCCATGGAAAACCCACAAGCAGGACCCAAGCACAAGAGCACTCTCGCCTCCTGGGGTCTCAAGCAACTGGTACTTTAGAAGTGTCACTGGTCTCCAGCTATGGAGATAGCCAGCATGTCCAGTAGCCACTGAAAGCCTTATGGTCAATGGTCCCTCTAAGGAGCTGACTGGCACCGCCTCCTGTGGGAGCGACAAGAACCCTCTTCAGGCATTTTGAGCGGGAGTTAGCTCAGCAGCCAACGAGGGGCTGCAAGAATGACTACGCTTGGACCCAAAATCCAGAGCTGGTTTTAGGGTGCTGCAACTGGTGTGGTTGCACTGGACACTGCACTACAAAAGCCCCCAAAACAATGCTGTAGAACGGAACGGGGGGGGGCACGGAATTTTAGCATTGCACAGGGCACTGCTGAAATTTGAAAGCCCCACTCCTAAAATGCACAAGGCCTCTCCATGAGTGCAGGAGGCTCCCTGCTTCACAAGTTTGGTCTCTCAGCTCCCAGTCCTGTGAGAAAGGTAAAAGGAACTGGGCACATTAGCTTAGAGAAGAGACTACAATGATCTGATGTATAGCCATGTTCAAATGTGTGAAGGGCTGTCACATATGGAAGAATTCAATGTTCTGCTAAGGTGACTGTGCAAGCATCTTGCCTTGCCAGATGAAATTATCTCTCTTTTTCCCCTGTGCACTGTTCCAAGGGCTCTCCCAACTCCCCCGAGCCTGAACCAAATTGGGGGGGGGGATGGTGGGAGGAAATTGGGGAAAACCCCATTGCACAAAGGAAAGTGCTGGGCTTCCACTAACAGAGCCAGGTGAATCTGGCCCAATATTCCTTCCCCTTTTTTTAGAGCACAATTTTTATTAATTTAAAGACTACCAGCTTTTAGTACAGTTCCATGCAGTAGCTTCAATACAGGTGTTCAGCAACAGACAATGTCATAAAGAACAAAGGTTAGTCAGTTAAAGGGATAGATTGCAGTGGAGGGTTGTGGTTTTTTTGCAAGAGTAAGAAGAAAGCGAGATGAACTACGCAATGTATCAAGTTTTGTTTAAATCACAGTTCTCCAGAGCTTTTGCTTTAGTTTAAACAAAACTTATGCAACCATACATTGTGACATTATGTTAGGGAAAATAGGGGAAAATACTATGGAAAACACTTGTTGAGAATTCTGACTGGAACGGCCCAACATTTCTATTATTCTACTTCCGAAAAAATGTGGGGATGTAGCTCAGATATTCATTTCCGAGCCAACCTGAATTCACCTCCCCGTTTGTGTCCCCAAATCACCCTCCCTCCAACATTTTCTGGAAAACTGAAAATTATAATAATAATCCTGAAACCATCTGTTCCTTTCTCCATTACCATCCTGATATATGGTACTTCTCCACTCCCACCCATCCAGAGCCAATCCTGCTTTGCTTTGGAGTCATGAGCAGGTTCTAAACATTGAACAAACAATGGCACATTGGATAGGGCATCTCTTACATGGGGGACTCCAAGCCTAGGCTGGGTCAGGGCAGTCACTTCAGGTGGCAAGCCAGAGATACCTGAGGAGTGCAATGCTCATCACCTCCTGCACTTGTCACCCACTTCTTCCTCTGTTGCCACCACCACCATGCACCCCCCACCCCCCGCGCCAGCTCCTCTCTAGCCTCATTTCTCCCCTTCCACCTTTAGCATGCTGGGCCAGGATTTCCCCAGGCTGCCGCAGTTGCCTCAGGCAGCAGTGGAGGAGATAGGTGAGGGGCAGAGGAAACAGGTGGGGGTGGTAACTGGCAAAAATGACAGACAGACTAAGAGAAAAAGACAACAGCGACTTTGAAAAAGAATGGGAACCATTTATATTATGCTTGCAGAAACAAAGAAAGTCGGTAGACTTGATGGCAGGATTTAAATAAACATTCACACTCTTAGTACATTAGAAAATGCTTAGAAGATAGAGAAATATTATGGTGTATTTACTTTCACTTTTAGGTTTTTAGGTTTGATGTTATGTTATTAATACCTTTTTCTGTTAGGAGGTAGCAAAGTGGGTGAAAGGACAAACAAAGCAGAAGTGGAAGTTGGGGGAAGCCTAGGAGGGGAGGGAGGAAGGAATAAATGGTAGATGTTAAGAATTTGAGATGTATGTAATGAATGAAAATGAAAAAGGAATAAAATTTTTATAAAAAAGAAAGAAAGAAACAGTTGGGGGTGGTGACAGAGGAGCCAGGATTGACAGCAGAGGGGGTGTCATTTTTTTTGTTTTACCTCAAGCGGCAAAATGTCCTGGGCCAGCCCTTGGCTGTGTACACATTATCACCCTTCACTTTGGTCTTCAGGGCACTCCTACTGCTGATGCCTGAAGCTGTGTATACACGACATTAGCCACAAATCTGCATCTATCATGTAGTTTCTTGAGAAATACTGATGTTTGATGCGCTTCTGCTCAAACCAGCTCACTTCCAATCAGTGGTGTCGCAACAGGGGGCGGTTCGTCCCGGGTGCCGTGTCTGCAGGGGTGACAAGAATGCACTCCATGGGGGCTCGTGGCATAGCCACATGTGGAGGATCCTCCGTTCCCGGCTGCAGCCATGAGCAGAGGATCCCAGCACTGGCGCCAAACCACTATGTACAGCACATGTGCGGCATCACACACATGTGCTGTATGTGACACCACACATGCGCTGTACATAGAGGTTTGCCGGCGCTCCAGCACTGTATGGACGGTGCCGGGATCCCTCCATCCCCACTACAGCTGCGTGCAGAGGATCCCAGCACCGTCCGTACAGCGCTGGAGTGCTGCTGCCGGCAAACCACTATGTACAGTGCATGTGCAGCGTCGCTACGTACAGCACATGCGTCGTACGTAGCAACGCTGCACATGCGTCCTACGTAGCGACGCCCCGCCCCAGGTGTCATGACGCCTTTGTTCACCCCTGCTTCCAATCTCAACACATAAGCCCCATTCACTTCACAGTTAAGCTGAGGTGTGTACATTTGAGATAGCTGTTGCACATGTGCAGATGACCATGCAAGTGCAGCTTCAGGAAAGTGAGTTTGTGGGCGGTGCAGATTTGAGGGAACCAAACAGGAAATGTGCATTGGGTGGAGGCACCCCTGCCCATTTGCTTGTGTGTACAGGAATGTGCAAATGCAACTTAAAAAGCAGGAGGAAAAAGCAAACCTGTGTTTTAAGCTACTGATATTTACAGAGCCCCAGACACTGTATTTAATCTGCTTTTTGTTTGAGACCCGGTTATCTTCCCATAGTCAGAAAACATTGTCAGAAAACAAATGGCAAGACCAGGGTTTTCTAGTCGGCTTCCAAGGCCCAAATCCAGCCTGACCATCCATCTCCCCAAACCCCACCATCTCTGAATATCAAAAGAAGCAGCCCCAAAGGCTTCAGAATGTACTTGAATGCCTTCTACTCTACCATTTTCCCACTATGTCATTCAGCTGAACTGTGAAGAGTAGAAAAAGCCTCTGGTGATGAATGAGGATTGATCCAATCTCCTTTGAATTCAGGAAGAGAGAAAATGCATGCCTCAAGTTTGTATATTATCTCACCCAGGGTGGGAGCATATTTAATGCAACCCTGAGTCAACAAAAGAGGAAGGGAAACACTGATTTTGAGAGGTTTGGGTATCCTTCACTAAACACTTCCATTGCTGACTTGTTATGTCCCAGTGCAAAATTCATCCATACAGAAGTACTGTAGTATGAATATAGCCGCCTCTCCACAGCAAACAGAAAGATAGAATGGGATACATTTACATATTAATTACAGCTGATTAATTAATTAGGTGGTTGAGTTTTCATTGTGTCACCTGCCCTACATGGTAAAGACTGTGTGGATGAAAGCAAACAAACCTTTAAATTGCAAATGAATCCATGCATCACTTTTTTAAAATGATGTGATTTTGTGAGTAAACAGTTGGGTCTCTCTCTCTTTCTCTTG